CTGTGGGGTGTTGCCGGGGTGGGGGGGGGGGGGGGGGGGGGGGCACTAATTAAGGAGTCTTTTTTGGCCGAGGTAAGATGATGTTCCCCTTCCTCCAGTTCCCTGGCAGTTGCCTGGTGGGGCGGCTCTGCCCGCACAGGGAGAGTTTGGAAATCTAATGGATTTATACTGGGAAAATAAACCCCACAGCCTCGTTGAGAGTTTGAAAAGAAACAGTATTTCTCCTGGGCTTTTTGGATGTTTGCATGTGGGTTTTGCTACTTTTCTTACACAGTGTGGGGCTAACTTGTGTTTGAAGATGCTCTACTTGTCCAGGATCGGGAGAGACGATGTCTCACGTCCCTCACTCCCCCCCTTCAGGCCGAGAACCGACAGACATCCGTGTCTGTTGGACAAAACAGGAGTTTAAGGTTCTGCATTCAACGTGGAGCAGATTTTCAATTGATGGAAGCAAATCTTTGCTGAGATACTTCGCTCATCTCCACCAAACACCTCTCTGTAGCATCAGTTTTCTCTAGGAGTGCTGAGAGTAGAAAATCAGACTTTTCCTGAAGGCTTGGGAAGGGCAAGTTCCAGTGCTTGAAATGGCACTGTTAAATCAGTCCTGAAAATCCTCCAAATCACTATTTTATAAATAAATAATCCTGCCATAATGTGATTTTTTCAGGAAACCTTTTATAACTAAATCGGCAATATTACAATGTCAGAATTTTGCATTGATTTAGTAACAGATGAAAAACATTCTGTTAAATATGAGGTATTAAATACCAAGTAATTCTTCCCCTCTTCCTTTCCTTTCCTTGAGCATTTATTTTGGAATGCATATGAAAGAAATACTTTAGAACAGCAGGAAGATAAACTTGTTCTGTATATATTGCATTTATATGAGAACAGATCAACTCAAAAAGCAAAGATGGAAAGTGCATCAGTAAAAAAGATCAGTCATAGCTTAGTTTATTTTGAACTTATGAAAGATAATTTATTTTGAATTGTTGTAGGGGGAAACTATCTTTTGTGCAAAATTAAAAATAGCCACTGGACCTTGATTTACATTTTGAAGAAAAGTGATGATCTTACAGAAATTTTCAGATTTTGATTACTGAAAGTCAATGTTTTATGTTCATGTTCTGAAGAGGAACGCTTTTTAATGAAACAATTCTAACGACACACACACAAAAAAGCTTTGAAATTTTGCATGATTGTCCTTTTTTAAAAAAAAATCTGTTCTTAAAACCAGATTAAAATTCTGACTGTATTTAAAATTGTTACTGCTTAAATTACTACTGTGTTTGTATATATGTAAATATATGTATATAAAATATGTACATACATAAATATATGTAGGAAAATACAGGCACACATCATCCACATACCTTATTTTTCTTTCTAGCTATGCTGTTGTGAGCTTCCTTTTAACTTTGTCCTTTTTTTTTCCCCAGTGCTCTGTGTGTGGGAAGAGCTTTTCTCAGTCCTCTAGCCTGAACAAACACATGAGGGTTCACTCCGGGGAGCGCCCCTACAAATGTGTCTACTGCAACAAGGTAAGGCAAAGCCCCGTCCCGCCGTCTGTCCTCTGCTGTGCTCAGCATCACACTGCACCTGGGAGGGGTGGCTCTTTCCATGCTCTGTTTTCAATTTTTCTGTTTCTTTTCTGCTTTCTTTCAATAAAATGCCTTCTATTTAAGTTGATAACCAAATGAGCAAGTATATATTCTGGGCACAGTTGTGAGTTGAAGTGGCAGGGCTGGCTGAGACTGAAGAAACAGGGTCTGGTCTCCATCGGATGTGGAATTTGTGTTTTGGCCCAGCCCAGGGAGCTGCTGCAAGGATAAGGTCTAGGAAAGCTTGAGAGCATTTCAAATACCATCCAAGGCACATGGCTAGATCAAATATTCCCCTTTTCCATCAGATAGGTAGTTTTTGATATTACTGACACTGCTTCTGGAGTACAGTGAACAGATTTGGCACATAAGCTGAACCTGCACAATATGACTTTGTGACTGCTTACCTTGAAGTAACAGGGCCATTGATGTGCAACTGGGCATGGGGGCTTCATTTGAAAAAGAACACGAATGGAGCCGTACAGCACTGATCAAAACTGTGCTCAGCTGTTACTACCCTTCACAGCAGGGATGATTCAGGTGGGCTCTCCCTGCGAAAGCAGTGACAGCAGCGAGAGTGTAGATGTACAGGCTGCGGCTGGATGAATATCGGTAGGGTTCCAGGTGCTATGGGGTGTCCGTGCAATGCAGAAGCACTGTCTAGCATGTAGTAAGGTGCTCCTGTTTTTGGAGAGAGAGAAGTTTTGTTTATGACTGGCTGGACTAACACAGAGCTGAAGTGTCCTGTAGTAAAGAACCTTAGAAGAAGATCCTTTTGGCTGTTACATTTTTTTCTCTCCCAGGCATCCTGAACACTTGTAGGCAGAGTTTAGGATGAAATGTCATCCTTTAAATCTTCTGACCACATTAAGAGATGTCAGAGCTTCACGGGTGGCTCTGTGAACAGATCTCTAGGATATGTGGGACCCTTGGCCGGCCCCCAGCCGTTCTGGTAGGACTGTTGCAGACTGGATCAGATTAAAACATTAGTCCTCAGGCTGCAGGATGCAGCTATCCTGGGACACAGCCATCGTTTCTGTGGCTGGGAAACCAGGGGCTATTTTAAAGCATCCTCACCTGCTCTTCCTATGCAGTCATGATTCCTCTTTGCCTCTTCTACCTCTGACTGTGGCTGGGCTCCAGGGCACCTTTGCTTTCCCTGGCCCTTTGCTCACTATCTGGGTGACATCCTGAGATTAAAGGAAAAGTATTGAGCCAAGATCACCATTCAGGCCCTCAAACACACTTTGGCCCTCTTGATATACACCTCCAGGGACTTTCCTATAGGAATCTCGGATCCAGTTGTGCTCTAAGGTTCCTAGTGAAAGGGTATCTGAGATGTATTGCTCTTTGCTGTGAAAAGTTACTTGTGATGGCTCAGCAACGTAACGGTACTAAAGAGGATTTATTTTGTGGGGTCTGCAAATAGTGAAGGGCTTGAAAGTGTCTCTCTTGGGAAAAGAAAAAATGGGGAAAATGTGGGCAACTTTGCAACATTCCTGCCCAAGTCTTGGTGAGAGGGTTTTCTCCCCAAATGGAGGAAGAGTCTTTACGAGGGGGACAGAGGGTCATTGTGCATACTTTGCTACTAGAGTGTGTGTCTGTGGGGAAACAGACTGGAAGGTCTGACTGAAGGAAGAGCAGAGTATGATGGAGCGGGGAAAATGAAATTCCAAAAGACGGATGCTGGACTGCGTGGATGAAGTCTGGCAGCTGAATCCCAAGCCAGTGTATGTGAACATGAAAGGGTTTAACTTTGAAAATGAAAACTGAAAGGAAAACCTGCATTATGTTTCCCAAACACAAAGGAGCTGCAAAGCTAATTAGGACAGTATTGACTTCTTATCCTTTGACATGTAGAAGGTATTTACTGGTGTCTCGGGTCAGAAATCTTTCTCTGAGCTTCATCTAACTCCATGGACTTGGCCACATCTGTGTAACGATAGCTGTTGGTTTCTGGTTCCTCATTACCGGGAGTTTTTGTTTTTTCTCCAATTACCTGAAGATGTGAGCTGTTTGAGAACTTGTTTTCAGGGTACGGTGCTTCTGGCAGGTTAGCTGAACCTGGGGATTATATATGTGAAAACGGATTACTTTCAACTCCTCCCCCCTTTCCTATCCCTGCCCTTTCAGGCATTCACGGCATCCAGCATCCTGCGCACTCACATCCGCCAGCACTCGGGGGAGAAGCCCTTCAAGTGCAAGCACTGCGGCAAAGCCTTCGCCTCGCACGCAGCCCACGACAGCCACGTGCGGCGCACGCACAGCAAGGAGAAGGGCTGCACTTGCTCGGTGTGCGGCCAGCACTTCCCGGAGCAGGAGGATTACCACTTCCACATGAAGATTCATGCCGCTCATTAGTCAAGAGCCCTGCCGACGTGGCCTGGACTAGCTCATGTGTGTATCAGTCTATGTGCATGTGTTTTTGCATGGTTGTGCGCATGCCGCAAGAGGTGATTTTTACCCGCACAGTGACTCTTTGGGTATGTCCAGTCTCTGGACCCTGGGCATATTTCTGAGTCCAGGGGACAGGAGTTTCTCACCTGGGTACCCTGATACCACACTGGGTTGAAGCTGAACAAGTGCTACCCTACCTTTCCCTTCCTCTCCTCCCGTACCCTAATTTTCACAAAAGGGAAAAAACCAGGCAGGAGGGAATTTCACCCCCACTGAACCTTTTGTACACAAACATCACCATGAGGAGTGTTGCCACATCTCTAATGCACCACGTCTATGGACTGCCTCATGCGGTTGGTACCAAAGCTTGTGTGAGGGTTGTTTTTATCAAGTGCATTTCCCAAAGGTGATTTAACCTGTTTGTTTTGTTTGGACGCATGACCAAGTGTGGGGTCTACTTCCCCTTAACGTGCAAGTCTTTCAACGATGCTCTATTTAAATGTGAACAGCCTCAGATATATTGACTGCTGGACCAACGTAGGGGTATTTAAATCCCTTTGTTCAGCTGCTGGGACACAGGGAGCTCCAGGGCTGTGAGACCAAGTCTTCCAGAGGATGCTGGATGCTGGTTAGCCCAGGGGGAGAGGATCAGGCTGTGATGAGATAGCTGCAGGCCTGTCAGCTGCAGGTCTGTCCTGCCAGGTAGCAGAGATAGTGGAGGTTGGCTCTGCCATCTCACAGTTTAGAGGACCAAATGTGAAGATATTCCCAAGCACCAGTGAGCTCTCAGGTGGGTCACGAGCAGTCAAGTGGCCTTGAGCAGTCAAGTGGCCTCGTAGAGGCATTGTCTTGTGGGCTCAGCACAGGCCAGGAGTGGGCACGATCCCACCAGTGGGCTCTTCTGTCTGAATTTCACTGAACTTGTCTCTTGTCCTGGCCAGGTGGGCCTTTGTGATGAGTCCTGACATGAAGGTTGGGCCCCTCCGTTTCCTCCTGGCTCCACATAAGATGGCTGCTGTAGTGGGACTCCCTTCCCCTGTCCTAAATTTAAGATTTAAAGTGTAGGATAGGTGATACCAGGACTTCTCAGACCCCAGAACTCACTGCACATGAAATTCCCTCCCCAGCCTGCAGGAATGCCTTCACCTCCATGGGAGGACTAGAAGGTGTCACCCTCCATTTCTCACTGACCAAGCAAGCACAGGAGTGATTTGTGCAGGTTTTCTTTTTAGCAATAGGGAAGTCTTTGATCATAAATGCTGGGTTTTTTCGCTGTAGAAAGAACTGCTCAGTTGGCTATGGGTGAGAAGATGTACCCTGGGATCCTTTTCTTGAAAGCTCTGGTTTTGTTTCTTTTGTACTCTGACTAGGAGAAGGACTCAGAATAACACTGTAGATGTCCTGGCCTTTCATACCAACAAACTTTGACCCAGATCAAAGCTGTCTCAAGTGCATATTACAATGGGTAAAGGAATTTCAGTGTAAAACCTTAGATGATTAGACCCTGATTTTTGCAAAGTATTTTCAAAATTTTTAAGAATCTTTAACAAAATGGCATTCCCTGGCAATGTGAAATCTCAACTTGATGGAGGCTTAGCAAAAAGCCTGTGCTGAAGGACCACTGGGTGTAGGGAGTGCTGTAATTAGTGCAGAAGGCTTTTTTATGACTTGAGTGGCCAGCATGATTGGCAGGGGGCTGTGCATCTGAGACGGGCTCCCTGTGTTAGTGGAAGTGTGTTGCACTCAGGAGGGATAATGGAAGCCCTTGCTGGACCTGGTTGATTAACACAGGTAGTTTGAGGTTACAGGGATGATGAGATTCTCTTTTAATATCCTAGATCAGCTAGGATTAACAAGAACTTTACACGGAAGTATAAGAGAAAAGTTTTTATTTTGTGCCAACTTTAACAATCTCCTTAAATACAGCGTAGAACTAGAAAAAAAATCATTACCTGCACATTTAATTATATCAGGCAGATACTGTATCTATAAATATATTGATTTGCACTAATTTTTATATGGTTTATTGCACCTGAAGTTGCTCTGTCCTCATTGTTTTCATGGTAAAAATATTTAAATATTTATAGAACCACTTACTTGTATGCAAAATATTGAGGCCCAGCACCAGGCAGTATCTGAAATAAGCAAGCCATTAGTACTGTACATACATGTAGGGTTTAGGGTAGAGTGAAGATCACATTTTCTTCTGTTTGTTTGGTGGGGTTTTTTTGCTTATTTTGATATCAAATATTACTGTAATACAGCAGGCTGAATTTGTACATATTGAGGGCTGAACTGGTGAGCTCTAAATAAGTAAAATTCATTCCTGAGCAGAAAATTATCACAGTGTTCATGTCTACAAACCATGCTGAAGTACAGGTGGGGGAACTGAATCTTGCTTCCAGCTGCCTGCCTGTATGGAGGTATTTTCCCCCAAGCGTACAGAACCCTGGGCAACGGGAATGTGAATTCTGTGTGTAAAGGCTTTGCTGGTTCGGTCCCATAAATATCTCAGGACTTGGTGAAATCAACTACCTAGTAATGAAATAAATGTTATGACTAGGACTGGCTTCGAAGTGCGACAAAATGGATTATTAGCTTCCCATGGAGGTGATTTCCTTGTTTTTTGTGAATGAGGGTTATTTATTTAAGTGGCGCATCTTCTGTAGTGTTTTTAGTTGTGTACATTTTCTTCTGCTTAAAGAACCCCTAAATATCTTGTACTAAAATATTGGCACTGTTCTACAGTATTTGCTGAGTTGTCTGTAAAACAGTATGTGAAGGGTTTCGCTTGTACTTGTGATTGAAGGTACTGGTTGTCTTGCACATTAAACCTGTATATGTAAATTTTGATGCTAATTGAGATTATTACAATGACATTCATGCAAAGGATGAAAATAAATTATTGGAGGCTATAGTGTACACTAAAGGGCTATAGGTTGTTTTCTGCCAGATGCATTGGAGTTGTTTATTTGAGGTACTAGTAAATGGATGAAGGGTGTTTTCTGCATCATTTGTAAGTCATTACAGAGTCAAACTGTCAGGAATTCTAGTCCTTGTCCTGCTGGGTAGCAGCTGATTGCATTAGAAGTCAAAGGCACCCAGTGTCTTGATGGATTGGGCCGTAAGTGTCCCAATAGTTCATGGAAGCTGAGGCCATTCAGTTCTGGATTGAGTTCACTCCCACTTGCAAGCAAGATGATGGATCCGGCTTGAGCACTAAAAAAGGCATTTAACTACCCTATAGCATTTAACTACCCTATAGCATCGTCCTTTCTCTATTGAATAGCGAGTCCCAGCTGGGCTGGGGCTGGGGGGGGGGCAGTGGGGGTGGCACTTGGCCAGCAGCACACTTCACAGCAGGCTGGGGAGAAATAAAGCAGCAGGGAGCAGGAGGGAGGGCAGGCTGAGCTGCCCTGCCAGCCTGCGGCAGATTTTAGTCTGCCAGGAAAATGCAGTGATTGTTAGTGCAAACTTATTGCTGTCCTCGCCAGACGGGGTTTAGGAGAGATTAGGTTTAGATTAGGGAATGCCCTTGTAGCGTACGTGTACCCTGTGTGCATCCAATGAGCTGAGGTTTTCCTCCCCTGGGATTTGCACATTTTCTTGAACCTTCTGTGGCCACGCTGGCAGCGGCCTGGGGAATGAGCAGCTCTGGCCAGCTCAACCGGGAGTGGGGTTTTGGTATTTATACACACAGATCAGGAGTGGAGAGAGGGAGGGAGTGTGTGTGCACACTGCGCTTTTTCATCTGGCAGGTTCCCAGGATGACTGCACGGTGCAGAAAGCCACGTGCGTGGAGGAGGCTGCACTGCAAGTTCCATTGAAGGGAAAATATTCGTGACCAAGCCAACTGTAAAGGCTCGATCCTTTCACTGGGAAGCCCCAGCTGCTAGGTCCCCCCTGAGCAGACACCATGGTACTCGATGATCCTGCTGGCCATTTCTGAACTTAGGCTGCAAAAAGCAGGACAACTCTGCAGCTCTCTGGAGGACCAGGCTGTGGCTTTGCATGTTGTACTAGATCCACCTCTCCCATTTCTTGGCATCACCAAAATGGGATATAAGCGACATTTTCCATGACAGCGATTATAGTAATAGGTAGCCACATTTTTCACTCAGTTTGGCTTAAGCAGTGGTTGTAGCATAGCTTCCCTGGCTGGGGGCTCATTCTCACTGCATTCCCCAAGGCAAAGGATTACAGAAACTGTACCTGAGGTGTGCACCCTGGTTCTTCTTTCTCCTAACTAGGATTAAAAATGGGCCTGCCAAGGGGAGCAGCAAGTCAAGTTGTTGGGAGAAACCAGCCCTGTAAGACACTATCTGATTTTAAGTGCTTTGCATTAACTGTCAGGGTTTTTTAAATGTTAAATGGAAAGTGATCTAAATAGAAACCAGAGGATGAGGGCAATCTCGCTGTTTTGTGGGGGCAGTGGGGAGAGAGCTGAGGGTGTGTGATGCTAACTCCTGAAAAGCCCCTCCTTGGTGAATGACAATGGCAAGACAAAAACAAAAAGGTGGTCCCTGCGCTCAGGCTGGCTAGTTTGAGGGAGCAGAACAAAAGGCCTGGCCACCAACATCTGCTGCCTCCGGCACCTCCTACATCTCCCTGCTATTCAAACGCCTGGTCCCCATCCCCCTGCTGCCCCTGTCCTGCTGCGCTCCCCAGGGGACTCAGGGGAGAGGGAGGTGGTTAACCACTGAGGGAAGGCAAAAAGCAGCAAAGAGCCTAGTGAATTGAAGATAATGCCACAAACAAATATTGATTAGTGCCAAACTGTCCATTAAACAAGAGAGATTGTTCACCAGGGGAGTCCTGACTGCCTGTGCCCTCCTTCAGAAAGCTGTTTCTCAGGGTCCCCAGCCTCCTACGTGCCTCCGCAGCAAGTGCTGGGGTTTGTTTCACCCCTTCGGACACAGTCACCGTCACCTTCGTTTCCCTTTCTCTCGTCACACATGCACGTCCCCTTGCACCTTCTCCCTTCTGGCTCTCCTTAATGCACGTAGTGCAGGGCCTCGGGCACACCAGGGGTGTCGGGAGACTCAGGCTTTGCTCTCTGCTTTCCTTTTTTTTCACCTCATGCAAA